AGGCGGGGGACACGTGGTTACTACTCTCCCCTGACACTCCCCGGCCCCGCAGACCTTCTTCGGCAACGTGAACGAGTCGGCCGTGGTGCGCCACGACCTGCACTACCACTTCACAGCGCGCTACATTCGCATCGTGCCCCTGGCCTGGAATCCGCGCGGCAAGATCGGCCTGCGGCTGGGCCTCTACGGCTGCCCGTACAGTAAGGACGCAGACGCCGCGGAGGGGGCCGGGGGCGCACGGTCTCCCCGGGCCCTGGCCCACCTGCGGCCCTTTGCGCAGAGTCCGACATACTCTACTTCGACGGCGACGACGCCATCTCGTACCGCTTCCCGCGCGGGGTCAGCCGGAGCCTGTGGGACGTGTTCGCCTTCAGCTTCAAGACGGAGGAGAAAGAGGGGCTCCTGCTGCACTCCGAGGGCGCCCAGGGCGACTACGTGACGCTCGAGCTGCAGGGGGCGCATCTGCTGCTGCACATGAGCCTGGGTGAGCTCCGCGTCCCCCCGAAACTCCCCCACCGCCACCCCCAGCGTCTCCTCCGCGCAGCCGCGCGCACGCCGGAGGTTCCCCTTCTTCGCCGTCTGAACCAGACGGCCCTCATGTAGAATTTCGTGCCACAAAACACTGCACTCGAATCCTGAGAACCGGATTCCAGTCTCGGCTCGACCATCCAACCGGCCCCGAGCCTCACGTCCTTCACTGTGAACACACACACACACACACACACACACACACACACACACACACACGCTTGTTGTTATTTTATAGCTCATTAGCTTTTCATAACGCCCACGTGATGAGATAGCAGTTGTCGTGTTCCAAGTTTTACAGACAGGCAAACAGAGGCTCCTTGAGGTTAAATGGCTTTCCCTAAGTCACGCCCGCCAATGGCTGTGATCTAAATCCCCACCCTCCCGGGTTGTCCCGGGCCCTGGTGCGCGCCGCCCCGCCTGGGGGCCGGGGCTCCCCGGAGTTCTGGCTTGAGGTCTCACTCCTCCCGCCCCACCCTCAGGCAGCAGCCCCATCCAGCCAAGACCCGGCCACACGACGGTGAGCGCCGGCGGCGTCCTCAACGACCAGCACTGGCACTACGTGCGCGTGGACCGATTTGGCCGCGATGTAAATTTCACCCTGGACGGCTACGTGCAGCGCTTCGTGCTCAATGGCGACTTCGAGAGGCTGAATCTGGACGGGGAGGTGAGGGGGGCGCCGTTTGTTTGGGTGGCGCGCTGGGTAACAGGGTGGAGGACGGCGCTTCTCTCTCCTGGAGGTAAGAACTCGCATTCCAGGTCCCCAGCTCCTCGTAGCCCGTGGCAAATTTGCTGGACACCCGAAAAAGCCTGGGTTTTTGTTGATGTTGCTGTAGCACGCAGACACCCGGGCGCCATCCCAGAACGCGTGAGATGGGGGTCGGAAATCTAGATTTTGGGGATCAAACGAGGTAGAAAAAGTATCCCCTTGGACGCTCTCACAACTTTGTGGAGCTGGTGAAGACCCTGGCCCCATCTGCAGATACCGACACGTTCCTTGACTTGCCCAAGAGCGTGCAGCCAATAGTTGGTGCGGTCGGAGCTCGAACCCACGCCTCGGGAGGCCGAGCGAGCTTTAATGCCGACGCTGGGTCAGTGGGTGTGTCAAGGCTTGTATAAAGCCCGGCCTGGCGCTTGGGAAAGCGTATGGTGGGGCGAGCGAGAAAGGCGGGCGCCCTCCTGCGCCCAGGAAGCCTCATTCCCCACCCTACCCCCCACAGATGTTCATCGGGGGCCTGGTGAGGGCCGCGCAGAAGAACCTCGCCTATCGGCATAACTTCCGGGGCTGCATGGAAAACGTGATCTTTAACCGCGTCAACATCGCAGACCTGGCCGTGCGGCGCCACTCGCGGATCACCTTCGAGGCCAGTGGGCAGGAGAGTCGGGGGGACAGGTTATCAAAGCCTCTTGGAGGTGGAGCGGGAAGAGATCTCCAGTATCGGAGAGAAGCCGAGAGCCGCCCGCCCCCCTCCCCAGCCAGATTCGCAAGTGGGGGAGTTCTCACTTGAGGCGCAAAAGCCACGCCCCCAAGCTAAGAAGCTGTGGTTGGCTCCAGTCACTTCCTTAATAGTTAATGAGGAACGTGAGGCGCAGAGGGTGGGCGTGGCTTGACCAGGGATCCTGCAGCTGTGCAGTGGCAGAGTGTGGACTTGAACCTGAGGCTCTTTGATACCCTGCCCTCACGCCTCTCCGGCTCGGGAGCTCGTGCGCATGCGCAGTTGCTGGGACGCTGACGGGAGTCGGAGCCATGGCCTCAAGTGACCTCTAGAAGAAAGAGCTCGCCCTGCAGATCAGGAGAGCGAGCAGCAGGGGGGCCCACTTGGCTGGGGACCCACAGATGGGCAGGCTTGGAGGGGAGAGGGTCATGGTTGGGGTCTCAGCCCCCCGCTGACACCGAGGGAGTGCCTGGAGGAGGGTCTTGATTCCCAGCAGAGTCGGATGCAGCCGCTAGCAGGTGCTGATGGCACCCTCACTGTCTTCCCTAGGGTAAGGTGGCCTTCCGCTGCCTGGACCCGGTTCCGCACCCCATCAACTTCGGAGGCCCCCATAACTTCGTGCAAGTGCCCGGTTTCCCGCGCCGTGGCCGCCTGGCGGTCTCCTTTCGCTTCCGCACGTGGGACCTCACCGGATTGCTGCTTTTCTCCCGCCTGGGGGACAGGCTGGGCCATGTGGAGCTGATGCTCAGTGAAGGGCAGGTCAACGTGTCCATCGCTCAGAGCGGCCGCAAGAAGCTACAGTTCGCGGCGGGTGAGGGGTCGTGAGGCAGGCAAAGGAAGAACAGAGGAGCCCAGGCAGGCCAGAGAAGGGTAGAGGAGCCCAGGGAGGTTGTAGGCCTGGACTGAGGCCTTTGCTCCTGGAGAAGGGAAAGAGCATGAGGGCAGGAGGGGCCAGGGCACAGGGAAAAGGTGGGAGTGGCTGGGGGACTGAGAAGCCTGAGTCTGGCATTCTCCAGGTCCAGGGGATCCCTGGGGATTTTGTTCTTCAATTATGACTTTGCAGTCTCCATGTCAATTGCTGGGATAGTGAAGAGAGATGTTCAGAGACGTCTCTACTCATCGCGAGAAGTCTGTAAACGGGGCACGTGGACTGCTTTTGGGACACAGGGGCTGCTGCTTCTCCACCCAAGACGTCCTTCTCCTATCCCATGACCCACACAGTCATTCATTCTTGTCCAGGGTACCGACTCAATGATGGCTTTTGGCACGAGGTGAACTTTGCAGCACAGGAAAACCACGCAGTCATCAGCATTGATGACGTGGAGGGGGCAGAGGTCAGGGTCTCATACCCGCTGCTGATCCGGACGGGGACTTCATACTTCTTTGGGGGTAAGTAGAGGCCTACCTGGCCAGACCTCTGTCTCTGAGTGGGAAGGCCCCTCTAAGTCCACTGTGACGGGCCACATGGAGAGCTTGGAGGGTTCAAGACCTCTTTCCCCCTGGAGAGCGGAAGGTCTTTGCAACGGTCTGCACTTTGGTCCTAGCCCTCTTTCTTCCTTTATGTCTGGTTATCCCTCAGCATCTCCCTGGGGGAGGGTCTTTGGGGTCTCCCCCGGGGATGGTCTCACAGGGGTGCTTGCTCCAGGTTGTCCCAAGCCAGCCACTCGATGGGGCTGCCACTCCAACCAGACAGCCTTCCATGGCTGCATGGAGCTGCTCAAGGTGGATGGTCAACTGGTCAACCTGACGCTGGTGGAGGGCCGGCGGCTTGGACACTATGCTGAGGTCCTCTTTGATACGTGTGGCATCACTGATAGGTATCCAGAAGCCCCTCTTCCTAACTAGAGGTGACCCTTCCAGAGCCCTCTTCCATGGTGTCCCAGTGGGAATGACCTTTCTCAAGCATGTCTCTTCTCCTTGTCTCTGCTCCTTCGTCCCTGCTTGGGGTTGATTCTCCTTGACCGCTCACCTCTGTGTCATCCCTTAAAGTGACACATGTGCAGGACAGAAAGAAAGCATCCGCTTTTGCTCCTAGAGGGTTGTGTTGGGGAGAGGGTGGAATAAGGCCTGTTCTGCACTTTTGGGGAAGGAGATGGCTTGGGCCCTGAGGACTTCAGCCTTGAGCCTCATGCACCTGCGTCTGAGGGGTGTGTCTCGGCTGGGTACTGTGGTTCACATCTATAATCCCAGCACTTTGGGAGGCTGAGGTGAGAAGATTGTCTGAGCCCAGCCTGGGCAACTTGGCGAGACCTCATCTCTACAATAAATCAAAAAATTAGCCGGGCATAGTGGCATGTACCTGTAGTTCCAACTTCTTGGAAGACTGAGGCGGAAGGATTGCCTGAGCCCAGTAGGTCAAAGCTGTGGTGGCGATGAGCATGCCACTGCTCTCCAGCCTGGGCGACAGATGAGACTCCAATTCAAAAAACAAAAAAAACAACAAAAAGGGGGTGTGTCTCATGGGGTTTGGGGCCCTGAGGAGCTGGGAGTGAGGCTTTCAGGGGTCAGACCCCACCCTCCAGCACCCCCTTTGAGGCTTCTTCCTCGGTGGTGACCCCACCCTAGATGCAGCCCCAACATGTGTGAGCACGACGGCCGTTGCTACCAGTCGTGGGACGACTTCATCTGCTACTGCGAACTGACTGGCTACAAGGGGGAGACCTGCCACCAGCGTAAGCTGGAGGGGTTTGGTGGGGGGAGGGTTCAGCAAGAGGAGGGGTCAGGAGAAGGGTGCTGGGGATGGCGGAGCTGGCCCTTCCTGCCCTCTCACTCCATAACTGCCTCTCCCCCAACCCCACCCATCAGCTTTGTATAAGGAATCCTGTGAGGCTTACCGGCTCAGTGGGAAAACTTCTGGGAACTTCACTATTGATCCTGATGGCAGTGGCCCTCTGAAGCCATTTGTAGTGTACTGTGATATCCGAGGTAAGTGGCTCTGTTGGGTGGTGAGGGGGGCAGGTGGCAAGGCAACACGGAGGTGAGGGGGAACAGAGACGCATAGACTGACGGATGGGAAACAGTGAGATTAAACTGGAGGAGCAAAGGAGGGGGGGAAGGGAATACTCAGGAATTTGTAATCATGCCTGTAATCCCAGCACTTCGGGAGGTCAAGGTGGGAGAATTGCTTGAGCCCAGGAGTTCAAGACTAGCCTAGGCAACATAACAAGACCTCATCTCTACAAAAAAATTTTTAAAAATTAGCCAGGGTGGTGGGACATGCCTGTAGTCCCAGCTACTTGGAGGCTGAAGTGGGAGGATCACCTGAGCCAAGGAGGTCGAGGCTATAGTGAGCCAGGATCGTGCCACTGCACTCCAGCCTGGGTGACAGAGTGAGACCATGTCTCAAAAACAAACAAACAAAAAAAGGAATTCATACTCGAGCCTTGCAGATGAATTCCAACTTCCTGAACCACCCTGGTGATCTCTTCAGCCTATGATGCAGAAGGACCAGGGCAGGTCCGCAGCAGAGCTGAGGATTGTGGTCACTGAGTTACAGCAGTGGCAGTAGAGGTGGGCGGGAGGTAGGTCGAGAATCCCCACCTCCAGCCAAAGCTCTGTCCTATCCCCTCCCCCAGAGAACCGAGCGTGGACAGTTGTGAGGCATGACAGGTTGTGGACGACCCGGGTAACAGGTTCCAGCATGGAGCGGCCATTCCTGGGGGCTGTCCAGTACTGGAATGCATCCTGGGAGGAAGTCAGTGCCCTGGCCAACGCCTCCCAGCACTGTGAACAGTGGATCGAGTTCTCCTGCTACAACTCCCGGCTGCTCAACACTGCAGGTTAGGGGTGGCATCCAGGGCTGGAGGTGGCCTGGGAGGAAGAGGCCAGAGAGTTCTGCTGGAGCCCTGGCCTCGAGGATTTAGGCAAAGGTCTGGGCTGGCTGGAAGGGCTGGGGGGTCTGGAGGTGAAGGGAGGACAGTCCTGCAGCTGCCTGCACCACTTCCCCAGGAGGCTACCCCTACAGCTTCTGGATTGGCCGGAATGAGGAGCAGCACTTCTACTGGGGCGGCTCACAGCCTGGGATCCAGCGCTGTGCCTGCGGCCTGGACCGGAGTTGTGTGGACCCTGCCCTGTTCTGCAACTGTGATGCCGACCAGCCCCAGTGGTGAGGGTGCAAACAGACAGGGTTTTTTTTGGGGGGGGGGTTGGAGTCTCACTCTGTTGCCCCGGCTGGAGTACAGTGGCATGCTCCCAGCCACCACAGCCTCAATTTGCTGGGCTCTGGTGATCCTTCCACCTCAGCCTTCCAAGTAGCTGGAACCACAGGCATGTACCACCACGCCCGGCTCATTTTTTGATTTGTGGAGATGAGGTCTTGCCATGTTGCTCAGGTTGGTCTTGAACCCCTGAGCCCAGGCAGTCCTCTCACCTCTGCTTCCCAAAGTGCTGGGATTACAGGAGTGAGCCCCTGTGCCCAGCTGGACAGGGTTTTTAGGACCTGGGGGGCAAAGGTGGAGAAGCTGAGCAGCAGAGCCTGAGCTTCTACAACCTGTCCCCACAGGAGAACCGACAAGGGGCTGCTGACCTTTGTGGACCATCTGCCTGTCACTCAGGTGGTGGTAGGGGACACCAACCGCTCCACATCCGAGGCTCAGTTCTTCCTGAGGCCTCTGCGCTGCTATGGGGATCGTGAGTGGCAGACCCCTTTTGTGTGTCCTCCCAGGATTGGTGTCCAAAATCAAGGCTCTCTGACGCACTGGGAATGTCCAGGGCCTGCCCAGACACCCCAGCTCCTGCTGTGATGCAACCCTCATCGACCTTGTTCCTTTGTACCTTGGTCTCTTTCATTCCACTCCTTGGTCTCCCCTGGTCCCTCCCTTGCTTTGCCCTGCCTTCCCTACCACTCTGGTCCTCCTCTACCCTCCTACCTCGCTGACAAGGCCTCCCTCCTTCTGGTTTTGTAGGAAATTCCTGGAATACCATCTCTTTCCACACTGGGGCTGCGTTGCGCTTTCCCCCAATCCGTGCCAACCACAGCCTCGACGTCTCCTTCTACTTCAGGACCTCAGCTCCCTCAGGGGTCTTCCTGGAGAACATGGGGGGCCCTTACTGCCAGTGGCGCAGGCCTTATGTGCGGGTGGAGCTCAACAGTGAGTAGGCGGGCTGTGGTGGGGCCAAGGGGTAGATGGTGGAGCTTCCTGGGGAGGCAGGGATGGGTGGAGGCTGGGGTAAGAGACCAGGGCAGACACCCTTTTGGGCGGCATGGAAAGGGCTTGCCATGGCCCCAGGTCCTAGCCTCTTTGGGTGGGGATGACTGACCAAGTAACCTTGGGCACTCGCTTTGCCTCTCTGGGCTTGAGGCTGGACCCCTGAGTTTCTCCCACCGTGGACTATCTTTGCTTCTGGCCTGAGAGGCAAGGCTAGGAGGCTGGGTCCAGGAGATACCAAGGGTGTGAGATTTGTAAGTTTTGTCCCAGGCTGTGGACAAATGAGAGGGGCACTCAGGGAACTCCAGAGAGCTGAGGGAGAGGGGTCGTACCAGGCATGGAATCTGTGTGAGACCTTGGGGGCCTGAGCCTCTTTCTCCCCCGCCCCTGTCACACTGTCCAGCATCCCGGGATGTGGTCTTTGCCTTTGACGTGGGGAATGGGGATGAGAATCTGACAGTCCACTCAGATGACTTCGAGTTCAACGATGATGAGTGGCACCTGGTCCGGGCTGAAATCAACGTGAAGCAGGCCCGACTCCGAGTGGACCACCGGCCCTGGGTGCTGCGGCCCATGCCTCTGCAGACTTATATCTGGCTAGAGTATGACCAGCCACTCTATGTGGGTGAGCAGCAGCCCAGAGGCGAGGCTGAAGTCTCTTCTGCCTTTCCGCCCTCCAGGGCCCTCCCTCTGTTTCCCGGAGCCCCATGTCATAGGTGGCCATCCCCTTGGGTCCCACCCTTCCGTCCCTATATCCGTCCTAGCCCTGCCTGGCTCCCTTCCCAGCCACAGTGTTCAGTCCTGTTTCTGCACCAATTCTTGGCCTGTCACCTACTCTCCAGGGTCTGCGGAGCTTAAGAGGCGTCCCTTTGTGGGCTGCTTGAGGGCCATGCGTCTGAACGGAGTGACTCTGAACCTGGAGGGCCGTGCCAACGCCTCCGAGGGCACCTCACCCAATTGCACGGGCCGCTGTGCCCACCCGCGGTTCCCCTGTTTCCATGGAGGTCGCTGCGTGGAGCGCTACAGCTACTACACATGTGACTGTGATCTCACGGCTTTCGACGGGCCATACTGCAACCACGGTCCGTGCTGCTACTAGTTATGGGGGGACAGGAAGCCATAGGGAGTAAGGGGTGCAGGGAGGGCAGGGAAGGCGAGGCTGTGACTTCAGCGTCATGGAAAACTAGAGTTGTCCCTGGGTTCCTGAGCACTGAGCTGGAGGAGTCAGGCAGTCGAAGATACTGGGTGCTTCCAGAGGCATAAAGTGAGACAAGAGAGGAGTTGTATAGCTCAAAATCATCAAGTATGCTTTTGGAGGCCGAGGCAGTAGAATCACTTGAGGCCATGAGTTCAAGTCCAGCCTGGGCAACAGAGCAAGACCCCATCTCTACAAAAATATTTTTTTAAAGAGACAGAGTCTAGGCTGGGTTTGGTGGCTTAGCCTGTAATCCCAGCACTTTGGGAGGCCAAGGTGAGTGGATTGCCTGAGCCCATGGGTTCGAGACCAACCCTGGCAACTTGGTGAGACCTCGTCTCTATAATTAAAAAAAAAAAAAAACTAGCCGGGTGTGGTAGTGCCACCTGTAGTTCCAGCAACTTGGAAGGCTGAGATGGAAGAATCTCCTGAGCTCGGCAGGTTGAGGCTGCGGTAACTGTGAGTGTGTCACTGCACTCCAGCCTGGGCAACAGAGTGAGACTCCAACTCAAAAAAAATAAAAAATAAAAAAGAGATAGATTCTCTTTAAAAAGAGACAACAGGACACCACACTCCTCAGTCCCAAATTCAGAGGTTCTATAGGTCATCCAAACACACCCTGAGACTTGCTTCTGTTTCTGCTACCCTAACAACCCTCTGTTTGTTTTTAGGTCCCCTTGAGGCCCTCTGTTACAGGACAGAGTCTTGCCATGAGAAACTTGAGAGATCACCTCATCCAACCCCTGCATTTTACAAATGGAGAAACAGGCTCAGAGAGGGCAGTGGGATACTTGATGATTTTGAACTCTTTTGCACCAGTGTGGTGTGCTGGTCTCAAATTCTTGGCATCGAGTGATCCTCCTGGTTTGGCCTCCCAAAATGTTGGGATTACAAGCATGAGCCATCATGCCCGAACAAAAAATTGGGGAGTTGGGCGTGGTGGTGCGCATCTGTACTCCTAGCTACTCGGGAGGCTGCGACAGAAGGATCATGATCACTTAAGCCCAGGAGTTGGAGTCTGCAGTGAGTTATGATCTTGCCACTGCACTCCAGCTTGGGCAACAGAGTGAGACCGTCTCCAAAAAAAAAAAAAAATCATCAACCAAGTAACTTCCCATCTTCCCACTATCACCAAGGTAACAGAGGTTACCCCCCTTATAATACTGACTTTAGGCTGAAGGACACCCTCTGTGCCATTTCCTGTTTGACGATTGATGCGTTCCTAAAACAAGTCTACAGCCTGGTTCTTGGTTAAGGCGAGCCTTGACATTCTGCATAACAAGATTTTGTGCACATACCCAGACTGCATCCTCCCTAAGGCCGGCCTAGGGGGATACTTGGGCAGGGGGTTACTGGTGGAAGGAGTCTGGGCGACTAGGGAGATGCAGGGACTTAGGGACCCACAGAAGACTCTGGCCTTGGTTTGGAAGTGTGAGTAACGGCTCATATACTGGATGGGGTCAAGAATCTCCATTCTCATCTTGGCCCTCCACTTAACTGTGTGCCCTTAGGCAAGTCACTGCCCCTCTCGGAGCCTGTTTCTCCATTTGTAAAACGCAGGGGCTGGATGAGGCAATCTCTCAAGTTTCTCATGGCTGCAGGACTCTGTTCTGTGATGGAGGGCCTCAAGGGGAGCTAAGAGTGAACGGAGGTTTGTGAGGGTGGCAGAAAGAAGTTCTCAGGGCGTGTGCGGTTGGCCTACGGAACCTCTGGATTTGCGACTAAGGCGTGCGGGGGCCCTGACCTTGCTGTTTCTGCCCACAGACATTGGCGGCTTCTTCGAGCCGGGCACCTGGATGCGCTATAACCTCCAGTCGGCACTGCGCTCCGCGGCCAGAGAATTCTCCCACATGCTGAGCCGCCCGGTGCCGGGCTATGAGCCTGGGTACATCCCGGGCTATGACACTCCCGGCTACGTGCCTGGCTACCATGGCCCCGGGTACCGCCTGCCTGACTACCCGCGGCCGGGCCGGCCTGTGCCTGGTTACCGCGGGCCTGTCTACAACGTCACAGGGGAGGAGGTCTCCTTCAGCTTCAGCACCCACTCCGCCCCCGCCATCCTGCTGTACGTGAGCTCCTTCGTGGGCGACTACATGGCCGTGCTCATCAAGGATGATGGTAGGTGACCCCGGGGGCTCTCACCAGCACCTCCCCCCCGTGCACTTAATTCTCACAATGATATATTTGCTAATTCAAGGACACTGCTAGCTGTTCTTAGCTGATGGGGGTCCTGGGAGCTGAGACCCCAGGTTTCTCCTCTCCACTCCACAGGGACCCTGCAGCTGCGATATCAGCTGGGCACCAGTCCTTATGTGTACCAGCTGACCACCCGACCAGTCACTGACGGCCAGCCTCACAGTGTCAATATCACCCGGGTCTACCGCAACCTCTTCATCCAGGTACGTATAGAGGGAGGAGAACCAGTCCAGGGCATAGCCTCATGATCTCGGTTGTGGCATCTAGGAAAGTGTCAAATACTTAACCTTTGTAGAGCTCTTCCCCTTCCTCCCCTCCTCTTCCCTCGCCTCCCCGCTTCTCTCCTTCCCTCTTCTTTCAGGAGGCAGGGTCTCTCTCACTCTGTGCACCAGGCTGTAGTGCAGTGGTGCACTCATAGCTCACTGCAACCTCCAACTCCTGGGCTCCTCCCTCGGTCTCCTGGGACTACAGGCATGTGCCACCACGCCCTGCTAAGTTTTTGTAGAGATGGGGTCTCACTGTGTTGTCCAGACTGGTCTTGAACTTCTGGCCTCAAGCGATCCTTCTGCCTTGGCCTCCCAAGTGCTAGAATTATAGGCATGAGCCACTGCACCTGCATTTCAACGTCCAGAGGATTTTCGTGTGTATCACCTCATGTGACCCTCACAGTACTTCTGTGAGGCAGTTCAGGATGACAGGTGTTCCTATTGTCTTCGTTTTGCAAATCAGTAAACAGGCTCAGAAAGTAAAGTGGTTTTCCCAAAGCCAAACCACCAATAAACTGAGAAGACAAGACTCAAAACCAGTTTTTGTTTTTTGTTTTTGAGTCGGAGTCTCACTCTGTTGCCCAGGATGAGTGTGCAGTGGCATACTCATGGCCACCACAGCCTCGACCTGCTGGGCTCAGACGATCCTTCCACCTCAGCCTTCCAAGTAGCTGGAACCACAGGAGCACACCACCATGCCCAGCTAGTTTTTCTGACTTATAGAGACGAGGGCTCGTCAAGTTGCGCAAGCTGGGTTGGTCGCGAAACCCTGGATTCAGGCAATCCTCTCGTCTTCGCTTCCCAAAGTGTTGAGATTACAGGCATGAGCCACCATGCCTGGCCTATTTTTTTTTTTTTTAAACAAATCCTACATCTAGGCCCAGGGGTTGCTCACTTCAGAGTGTGCTAGGACTCACCCCTGGCGGTGCCAGTTTGGACAGAATGAGGGTTCTTTTGTGGGCTTCGCTACGGCTGCCTCTGATGCCCCCTCCCTCATTGCCCTCTCTCCCAGGTGGACTACTTCCCCCTGTCGGAACAGAAGTTCTCATTGCTGGTGGACAGCCAGCTGGACTCACCCAAGGCCTTGTATCTCGGGCGTGTGATGGGTGAGCTGTGGGTGGGGGTGTGTGTTGGGCAAGGGCTTGTGGGCGAAGTCCCTGGAACCTGAAGGAGAGTGAAGGTGCTGGGAGTGGCAGTGAGGGGGTGGAGAACATGAGTGGAAACCAATGAATGGCGGGGCCAGGGCCCTCGGGTAGTCCAAGCCCCTCTTTCTGGTCCCGCCTGTCCCTCAGAGACAGGAGTAATTGACCCGGAGATCCAGCGCTACAACACCCCTGGTTTCTCGGGTTGCCTGTCTGGTGTTCGATTCAACAATGTGGCTCCCCTCAAGACCCACTTCCGAGCCCCTCGGCCCGTGACCACCGAGCTAGCCGAGGCCCTTCGAGTTCAGGGAGAACTGTCGGAGTCTAACTGTGGAGCCATGCCACGTCTTGTCTCAGAGGTGCCACCTGAGCTCGATCCCTGGTATCTGCCCCCAGGTACATCCCCAGGGCACAGAAGTGGGAAGGGAAGGATACGAGGGAAGGGAAAGGAGTCTTAACACAGAGAAGGGGTCTCCTAAGTGGTGCTTTCTTCTCTTCAGACTTCCCTTACTACCACGATGATGGATGGGTCGCCATACTTTTAGGCTGTGAGTAGCGCTGGTCACTGACCTAACCTCCTAAGACCACCTCTGTCAGCGTTTCCTCCCTGTCCCTTATCCCCAAGGCTGAGGGGGCGAAGGTGCCATTTGCACGATGGTCCGGGGAAGCGAGATAGGCCATACTGAAGGCCCTGTATAATTGGGCTGGAGATTTTCAATGTTTGAGGATGCTGAATTGTTTTGGGTTTTTTTTTTTTGAGTCAGGGTCTCATGTTGCCCAGGCTTCAGTGCAGTGGCACAATCATGGCTCACTGCAGCCTCAAACCCTTGGGCTCAGGCAACCTTCCACCTTAGCCTCTGGAGTAGCTGGGACTTACAGGCGCATGCCACCATGCCTGGCTAATTTTGGGGTGTTTTTTTTTTTTTGTAGAGATGAGGTCTCGTTGTGTTGCCCAGGCTGGTCTTGAATTCCTGGGCTCAGGTGATCCTCCCACCTTGGCCTCCCAAAGAGTTGGGATTATAGGCATGAGCCACCATGTCCAGCTACACATTTTTGTTGTTGTTGTTGATAAAGCAGGATTTATTGAGAGGACAGAAAAGCTCCCGTGGTGGGAGGGAACCCAAAGAGGTTGCCCCAGCTACACGTTTTTAATTGAAATATTAAAATGGACCTGTAGCTAAGGAATTGGGAAAATGGGGGTACTGTCACATCTAGAGAAATGGGAAATTGGGATAATTATGAGGGATGTGGAAAGAGAATTTTAGAAATAGAAGTTGGCAGGGGATAAGCCAGGAATTCAGATCTACTACTTAGGAATGCTCAGTGTGGTTGTCCAGCTGTCGTACATATATGCTTTTGGCCAATGTGTATATGCACAGCGTATAGGTGAAACTCCAAAGCCCTGCCCTGAACGATTCCTTTTCTTCCTTCCAGTCTTGGTGGCCTTCCTGCTGCTGGGGC